TTCAGACCTTTAAAATGTTAGTAGATAAATTAAAGATAAATTTGAGTACTGGTAATGCGATTGCATTGTGAAAGAAAAGGTGTGGAATCTATCAGAAAAGTTGATCATATAGCATGTAAGTAATGGTGTGTAATGCAAGGTTCTAGAGTCATCAAAATCATCATAAATTTGGCAGAGTCTTGGTAAAGTAACAATCACTTACACAGATAGATGTATATGGGACAACACACATGGTGTCGGGGCTAGTACCACCCCGATGTCCTTATCTTTCTATGCGCATTACTCAGCCAGTATACATTTTCTTCCAAAATTGTTTGGTACATGACATTTATTTGTAATCTTGAACATTCAGTGTAAGTTTCGTTAGATTCTGTGAGAATTCATTTTCTTTTTTTTTACCAGAACTCAAGTTTATCTTTAATTAAGTTACTAATAGTAAGTACTACCCTAATTTTTTTTCTCTCTCTTTCTTTCTGAGTTTAAAATTAAACAAATGAGTGGTTAAGATATATATATCATACCAATCTAGGATGTACATTGCATTGGGCGATGGGCATGTGTGAAACATACAACTGCACAGGGGCGTACGCAGGATTTTTTCAAGGGGGGGGGGGGGGGGGTTTTGCTCCCGAAAATTTGAAAATCGCGCCGGCCGAAAAGTCGCTCAGTGGGGGGGGGGGGGGGGGGGGGGCAAGCGGACACTTTTTTTTTTTTTTTGGTCTCGAAATTTCAAAATTTGACATTTTTCTTCGTTGGGGGGGGGGGGGGTGGTAAGGTCACCTTTTTTAGGTTAACCGTGGGTATAATTTTTTTTTTTTTTGTTTTGTTTTGGTTTTGGTTTTTTTTATTTTTTAGGGGGGTTTACACACATAAAAATACCAAGGGGGGGGGGTTTGAACCCCCAAACCCCCCCCCCCCCCCCTGCGTACGCCCCTGCAACTGCATAGGATTTGTTATGTAAGAACATAGTTCTGTTAAATATAGATGAGCAGTGTTCGGCCAGATATATTTAGCTTTGTTTAGCCTGAAATTCTCAGGAAATGAAGACAAAAAACAAACAACATCACAATATCTGGCACACAGTGGCGTATCCAGACCGGGCCTCATGAGGGGGCAACACATTAGTTTACTGGGATCCATACAGTTCAGGGGGGGGGGCGTCCAAAAAGAACATTATTTTTTAGGAAGAAACAGCTTTATTTGGGTGTTTTATGTATTGACTTACAAATATTCCCTATCCTAAACTATCGTTATAAAAGAATTAGTTATTTGTCCAGGAATCATACATCAAAAAGGGCAAATTGCCCCCTTCCCCCTTCCAATACGCTTGCATAATAATGCATGATTCAGGGGCACTGAATAAAAGTTCACATAACTGTCAGCAGTGTTAGAGTTCAAATACAGTTGCAAACGCCATGCATTTGTTCCCAAACTTCAGTTATTAATCACCGCTGCACAAAGATATAGACAACTTAATTCAGATGGTAAAATAGTGGCGAACCGCAAGTTTTGGTTTAGAATCGGTCAAAGGGGTCATTAATTTTGGTTATTATTGGATACAACTGTTCGGCTAGCAAACGTTCGTTCTGGAATGCCTGCATTGACTGGCAATTTTTAGTTATAAATGAAACTACATTTTGTGAGATATTTGTGTATTATATTTGCCTATCAATTCATAAAAGGTTTTTATAATGTTTGGATAAAGTGAAACAGTTAGCTGACGATCATTATAGTGAACTAAAGAAAGAAAGAGAGAGAGAGAAAGAGAGAGAGAGGAGAGAAGGAAAGAGGAGTGGGGAAGGGAGGGGAGGAGGGGGGGGGAGGACTTTAAAAAAAAGATGATGACATGATGACACGCCCACTGCCAATAGTACCACCCCCAATTGCTGATCTTGGATCTTGGATTTCATTCCATTGGTCCATTCACCAAAACTCATACTTGAGCGTGGACCCTTTTTTCGGAAAAGAGAGAGAGAGAGAGAGAGAGAGAGAGAGAAAGAGGGAAAACAAGGAAGAAAAACCGTGCAATGAATACAAAAGAAAAAACATTTCCACCGCCCACGAATAGCATGACATCCCGTCAAAACTTGTTTTTATTCGGAAGCCATCTCCTCATAATTTCGTTGACAAGCGTAACATAACGGTCCACTGGTGAAAAGAGAAGAAAATGGCACCCCTTTTGTCCTAATTCGCCCAGGTATGGGGCCCTCAATAACTCGTTAACCCTGTTTAACCAACCAAATACCATTGTACCCTGGGCTATTTCGACATCAAGAATACCCAGTGAATGACATAATTATAATAATCTAAACCAACGCGAAGATATTTTACAATGGGTATTTCCAATGACTTTGGTTTTTCCCTTCATCCTAAATAGTCTATTTGGAGAGTGGGGGGGGGGGGGGGTGTTCTCAGAGCGACAAAACAAACCCTTCAGACGAGAGTTTGTCAACAAGTTGTAGTACAGTATAGTCTAATACAACAGACGTAATTGCGATGAACAAGATGTGCACTGTTTGTGTGGTTCTATTTGGTTTTCCAAAAATAGGGAAGTATGCTCCTTTCCACGTCACTCATTTTATTCTATTCTGAAAAGAAAAATAATACACACAACGTGCAATGTCACATTATGAAAAGGAATCGATACCAAAATGCAGCAACACCTTGACGCCTTGTGACCCGCGTATCACCATGGAAGCCCAGTGGTATTACGCAGTTATTTGAGCCAATTGCATAAAGTATTATTTTGATAATAGGTAGGAAAAAACATTATGGATAGCCATACCTAACAACATAATACATATCATATATGCAGTTGGCATTATGACTATTGAAATACAGCTATTTTTAAACGGTGAATGCAATGATTTGCACTTATGCTTTAAATTTGGTTACATATACGAAAATGGCATATTTTTGCATGTTTCTCGCCTAACCCCTGATAACCAGCCATTTCATTAACCTGATGGAACATGACATCTCTAGGGATTGAATCTAACTTTGCGTATACACTAGTTTTAGCTATGTGAGGCAAGCCTCTGGCAAATTTTGTAGTTGTCAAAAGAAGCCATTGTTCACAAAGTCTCTAAACACAACAGTTCTAACTAGTGATGACAAAAGAAGACTATTTTGACGCCCTTGTATCAGGAGAAAATAGAACATTTTCGAAATATAATCAAGTTTAATGCACAAATCTTTAAGTGTCTCGTTACAAAATATTGCACTCACCTGTTATGAATGACTGTATATAGTCAGAATGTGAATTGCAATATAGTTGTTACTAGGTGGGACAAACATTATGGCTAGGCTGGTCCTACTTAAGAACACGTAACGTATGCAATGCGCATTCTGACTGTTTAAATACCATAATTCACAAAGGCATATCCATAATTTTGGTTATACAGAAAATGGCCTATTCTTTCGGCTTTGATGCCAGATTAGATCTAAAGCAGACCTGAATAACAGAACAATCAATTTAGGCCTACTCAACCAGAACAATGTTAAACAAGAGTGTGGTCACGGTGTTTTCTCATGTGGAGACCAGTCACAACCAGGCCTGGTCACAACACTAGATCACGAAACAGTTAGGAAGGCCCCCCCCCCCCCCCCCCCCCAAAAAAAAAAAAAAAGACGAGACGGTCATTGCGGGCCCTCCGACGTTTCTGATGTGCGTTTGTTTTGTTATGGGGTTTCGTTTTTATATATGGTTATCAATGTATTGTTAATTTAAAAGGTCAGCGTACTATAAGGCTATTTGCTTTTGTCGACCCCTCATTCTCAATGTTTGTTTTGTGTAAAATTGCTGATTTTTTTTTTCTTGATTATAAATATATTATTATGTAGGCCTATAGTTTTTATTGAGAATAAAGTAAGACTGAACTGAACTTAGGCGTTATTTGAAGGGAGCACCGGTAAATTCTTGATTATTCAATTTCTCGAAAGCAGAAGTGTTTTGGGGGCTAAATGTTCTAGTGCTTATAATACATTCACAGGGGCACCCAAATATATCAAGATTGTAAAAAATCCAGCCAATTTTCAGAATCCCCCCAAACTTTGTATTGCACGTAGCCATTAAATTTCGAATAGAAAGGGAGTGTGGGTGAGAGCCTGGCTGTCCGTTCTAATTCATTTAAATATACATCTTGTAGAGAAAAACTGTTTAAAATTGAGTCCAGAAAAAAAAAATGTGTTTACAAAATGATGTCTTAGTATGATAGTATGTTGTCCTTTAATTCAATGTCAGGCCCAAGTCTAAAACTGAGATACAACACATCTTGTCCATACTATACATTTAATTTTGTATAAACTGGAAATGTCTTGTTGTCTGCACATGATTTCTTGTTTATGGTTTGTGTGTATTATCATAATCATGTTAAGTAGATAATTGAATGAATAAATCAAATCAAATCAAATCAAATGAATAGAAGACGGGCACAAATACTGTAATAGGCAAATGCTAGGCCAATCATTTTTATAATATAACGAGGCATGCAAAAGTGGGACCAATTTCAAACTAATTATTATTGCATTTGATCACATTTTGATCTGCTTTATCGTTATAGATCTATGCCTATCCAAACAAAAATTAGGACTAGGCCTATTTTCGTGATGATGACTCATCGACATTTATAAATGCATTGAAGCTGCCGAATCAGCAATATTTCAATAACGTACACGTTCTTATAAAACGTGAACTTTGCCTACACAGCAAACCGAACCATAATTACACCAAAAACAAGATCATATTTAGCTGGTGCGTTGCTGGATTCTCATTACGCTCATGTGAATAAGAACGCCTAATCGCGAACACCAGCGAAACGTAGTATTTTCTGTCACACGATCGCTGAGCTCTGCATTCATAGCATTGTTATATTTTTGCACGTGGGCTCGTAGTAGCGATCTCCCGCCAAATGCGAATCGCAACACGTGGGTACAGAGTACAAACATCGTAGTATTGTGTGGGCGTGACTCACATTCATTGCACTCAACGATTACCAAACGAATGCCAATCGCCTGAGCTTGGGTAGTCTGCTGTATATGTTGGGTAACAAAATAACGGAATATTTCCTTCAATTTCAATCGGATTAACTTCATATTCCTTCAACATTGTTCACTTGGATAATGGGAGGTAAGTTTACTCGCTGTCATGTTTTCGTTATTTCTAATTACCACAGCAATTAGCTAAAATGTAAGTGTCAAGATAACCACGTGCAGTTTGGCCAGCTTGCAGTGTTTGTTTCGCCTCGCCCAGCGGCGCGCCAAAACTCAGCGTCCGCGTGCCTCGTGGTACTGATTATGCTGGTAGTATATAGTGCTATATATTTTGAAGAATGTGGTCTGTTTTTTATTGGTTCGTTATACTCCTCAATTTTCCAAAATGAAGTTTTAACTGGAGGTGAATGTGATATGATATTATTTACCAAGAAATTACTTAAGTGTTCGGCTAATTATAATATAAATGTCACTGGATTTTGTTTTCTTTTATAGATACAAACGTTGCTTGACTATGTTGATTGTTAGTTAAATAAGACCAGTTAAACCGTTTGTAAACTGGATTAATTTTGATAAATTCTCAGCTTAAGTTTAGAATAGCCCACCAACAGGGTTTATCAGTGAATTTGAGTGATAACACGTGTCCAACTTCATGACATTTAAACAGTATTTTTGCAATGATTTAATTGTTTTAGAAGTTCAGTATCATTATAATGTCTAAATCTGATGTAATTATTAAATCAGAATGAATAAAGGCAGACCTGCTTTAATAATGTAAGAAATAATAATGGGAAGAAATCAAGATCGTTCAGGGCCTAAAGTGAATCGGATTCGGTAGCTCAAATGATGTATTTATATCAACACTTCGGAATGAGTTTTAAACTCTCGACCGTGTATAAATTGTCATTCTATTTCAACGTGAGTGATGGGAGCTTCCTTTGAAAATGTTAACAACTGTTGAAATGAAAATGTTTAACTGTAATGCAGCTTATTGAAGTTTTATTTTATTATGATCATGTTTGTGTAAATTAAAGATTGCTGAGGCCCTCTCCCAAGTGCATAATTGAATATTACGCCATTTAATTTCAGCTTGTTGGACGATGTTGAATCGACTGTCACCATGCCTTCCATTTTAGTTTATTATAATCCCGAATATAATAATTGCTGGCAGAATGTACAATGTAATTCATTATAAGTGTTGCCCGGTGCATTGCCCTGTCCTATACAACACCTACATGTTGTGTTTCATTTCGACATGATGAATTTGTTCACGTATGGAAGAGTAAATATATTAAAGAAGAGAATGATTTAAATGGCCCACTTCATCTTCGCAGACGCTGCTCAGCAGAGGGCCCATCAATAAGCCCAGTCAATGGACCCGGGTTCCGTTTCTCGAAACCGTAATAATAAGTCTTCTTGGACAAACCATCGAAACGTGTGATTAACACGCGTGTCTATGGGATGTCTACGAACTTAGACTTTTGACGGTTTCGAGAAACAGGCCCCCGTTTACTATAATGCACTTACATTAAAATAGATTGATGTTTGTTCTATTAACCTGTTATTAATGAATGATCTACAATACTTGACTACATACCAGTATGCATACATTACTTGTTATTTCGGGCTAGCCTTTGGCAAGCATTCGGGTTATCAAGAACAAAGTTTGTTTAAAAAGTATGCGCAGACATTGAATGTGGAAGTAACCCTGTCTATTCTGTGGAATAATGGATTGTGATTTGTGAATGAGAACAAAATTTCCCGCCGATAGTAGATCGACGCCCTGTTTATCACCCTTTCTTGTCTGATCCATCCCTTGCTCCGGCATGTTTTACCAAGGAGTTACCAGGTCCGCCTTGAATCTCCTGGATTTTACCAGGGACGTGTCTGGTCCTCTACCTTGCCATGATGCTGGCGCATTCCCAGGGCAGTACATCGCCTGACCTGGGACGGCTGATGCATGGTTTGATGCTGGGACTCAGACTCGGAGCTTGGGAACCCCGAGACACTTTTGGAATAGACAGATTTACTAAGACATTCAATTTTATGCGTACATTTTAGTTTTTAACGTAGCTATAGGTTGTTCTTGACAACTTGACATATTGCCCGAGGCTTGCCTGACATAACAACAAGCAATGTGTGTAGACGTGGATTCCAAGTGTTATACTTATATTTCATTCATTATTAATAGGTTGATTGAATAACTCACCACTAGGTCCCTAGGAATGAATTAGCCATGAGTTTGATACGTCAGTAAACGTCTGTTGTTCACTAAGATCTGAAACACATTCGATTCACCAGGAAGCTTCCCCTTGTAAGGTTGACATGAAATCGTTAATCAAATCTTGGACCTAGTAGGTCTGCGATAAAATACATTCTCATAATTTACGACGCAAATCATTCTAGGCCTCAATTCCATTCAATAAACAAAAGAGTGCAATAGTGAATAGATACGTCTTGCACATCAAGCTGTAGGCCAAACTCTTCAATCGGCCTGACCCTTGACATCCAGGGACCTGAAAGTGCGATTGAAAACTGAGCCGCTGGCCATCATTGTCAGAAGTGGTGTAGCGCCATCTTGTGGTGATTATTCGTCGAACTTGTTGCTTTCACGTTATCGATTATGGTAGATATGGGGACTTTCAGATTTGCACGTCGACATAGTGGACTGCTACGTGTGACGTCCTTCGCTAGCAATGCTTTAAAATGACATCACAGTGCCTTAAAAGGACGTGACACGTACCAGTCCACTATGTCGGCGTGCAAAATAATCTAAAAGTCCCTAATGAAAGACAGTTTGGGTGTATCTGCTAAATCACAAGCATCGTTACCCGGGGAAATATGGTTGAATATCTGAAGGCAGAGTGTGAACTACAAGGTAAAATAATGGATAACTTCAAGAAATGGAATCTCTGGCGAGAACCATGGACCTAACAGAAGTCGAACAGATGTATAATTCCTGAAAAATGATATCAGAATGAAGCAAGGCGAGTGGCCCTGTTCCTTGCCTGCTATATAATTTTATGAAGCATCACTATAACCGAAGAATATGGTTGAATCTCTGAAGGATGGGTGTGAAATACAAGGTATGGGCAACGTCTGAACAAAGATGAAGAAATGGAATCTTTGGTGAAAACCATGGACCTAACACACATCGAAGAGTTGTACAATTCTTGAAAGATGGTATCAGAATGAAGCAAGGCGAAGGGCCCTGTTCCTTGCCTGCCATGAAACATTTGCGAAGAATTTGTAGATTTGAGCCCTCGTCTTATAAAGAGTTGCGATTGATCCTAGTCAATCGCAAGTCCTCCAATCAATCGCAAGATAACAGTATCCTATCTCTTAATCGCCACCGTTTATAAGACAGGGCCACTGGGCTCATTATTTATTTGTACAAATCTTACTAGCTTAGTAAGATTCTATGAATATGGGTCGTGGAGGATCATTATTATGATCAACTACTATAATAATAATTATACATGAAATATCTTCGCACATTTGTGATTCTTAATGATGATTCGGAATTGATTTGAATTGAATGGATATCTAAAGAAGCCGACACATTGATTTAAATAATCATCCTAAACAATATGCATTACATTAGAACCTTGAAAAGCATTCACATTAGAAACAGGTAATGTTGTTTGTCAGGCGTCTTTTCTTTTCACCGACTTTTAACCATGATACCATATGTAAATTGAACAAAGCAACAAGGTAATTCCATTAGTCCCAAGGAACAAGGTTCCATTCATGAATAAGCCACTTCGGAGACAGAAGTTATACAAAAGTTATGACCCTCAAACATCCACAGATCTATCTTTTACACATGGAGCCCGACATGGAGACGTCCCACTTCGTTCATTCTAGATAAGAATATCACTGCCATAGGTGTAGGTGCTTCATGAATTACTTTTGTTTCCGCTCACGGAAGGAATACTTCCACATGTGTATCATAAACTGTACCGCCAGTGCATTGATGAATAATGATTAATTGATTACCTAACTATCATGAACACGTATTCAGCAGCCGCCTCGAATTTCGATGGGTTTTACAGTTTGGTACATCTGCCCAAGGAGCTAATCCATGCACAGAATATCTCAACAGTGGCCGCACGCTGGGAGCGCACTCGCGGAGAAATTGTCGCACAGTTCGGCACAATTTGACGTTCACCATCGGAGAGCGGATTCTCGCTAGGCTGACGTGACCCTGTACGTTCGTGCTGTTACTGTTGTATTGTGGTACTTTTCTTCATAAATAGCAATGAGTGATTCAATGCGTAATTCATGTAATTTTTGTTAAGAACTCTTTTAAGAACATGCAATATGCTTACTGAAAATGCAAAAATAATGCGCCCCACAATCAAATGTCATGTGAAATTCTTTACTGTGCAGGTTTGCCAGATTTCCTCTTATGACTACAGATCATCAACTCTCTGCTCTCGTGTTGTACTGGTATATTTTTTACTTTATGGCTGCTGGTTCGGAAAGGGTCGCGAAGGCTCAATGTAGAAGGGGGAAATCCCTTGTAGAAATCCATTTGACTTGCCTTGTATTTACAAAAACCTTCAATATGTTGTAATTTTTAATTCCATTTTGCGACTCCCCCATTCTTAATTTTCCTTCAGAAAAGAAAAAGGGCCTTTCCAATGTAGCATTTTTTCCATGTTTTTGTTTCCCTTTTTTCAACTTTGACGATGTAAAGTCTTATGATGTAGTTCCACTTCTTCATTCATTTCAGACCAAGTCTGGCTATCAAAGACTAACCGTTTCACTCCCAAGGCTCTCCCCTCCCCTAGACCAGGTCGTGAGTAACCTTCGGTTCTATTTTTTATCGCTCATCCGTTTGATTGACAGTCCCAGTTCCGAGCCAGATGTCATTGCTGTTTTCCCTCTACGCCCCCGTAATGTGTAGTTTTACTACGCTGCTCCAGCTGTTTTTCAGTTGTAAACGCAGCTCTCTCTCTCTCTCTCTCTCTCTCTCATGCATATTAATTTCTATTGTTGCCTGTGCGAACCGTACCAGTGCTAACGCCGTATGTTCCCGAGGTACGCTCCCGGAGAATAAGCCCCGCCCCCAGTCAGCGTCGAACGACCAATCAGAATGCGATGTTCCGCTGTGTTCGTAAAGGCACGCACAGCCCGGCTGATGATAAACATAACATAGTAAACCGATTCTTCTCTCTCTCTGATATGTGTTTAGGTTTTCGCTCTGAAGGATTCACTACGATCGGGACTGTTGAGCACAGCGGCAGGCAGGGAGCGAAGCTAGCACTGCGGATATCTGAAACGTCTTCTTCCCTACATCGCATCAACATAGTACCTGTTTGCAAACCGTTCTCTCTCCAAGCTTCAAGTAATATGTCTGCTGTGGAGGTAGAGCGACTAGTACTCGCCCCACGAAGGAAAATTCTGACCGGTTTAAGCATGCCCAAATCGAAGGCTTGCCGCAAGCTTGTTTTCGAGCCATCTTCAAACCAGAACGATCGCGAAGAGGATGCTGCCAGTGAGGAGACATCGGATAACTACCTTCAGGAACATCGTCAAAGGCAGATTCAGAGATGGGGATTCGACTTTGGAGCGGGTCAACCTCTTCCGAACGGCCGATTGAATTGGGAAGCCGAGTCCGAGGAAAGGGTACCAGCATTCTACAGGGAATCGTGCCTCAGGAGCCCTTCTCGAAGAAATCACCGCGTACGGAGGATTATCATGTCGGCAAGAACAAGTGAATCTGCGGAACATCATCGCTCAGCTGATAACGGGACCTTAGCGGCTGGGCAGGTGCATGGCAGTCGGGTGTCTGCTAGTGCTAGGTCTGAAACCGAAACAGCATCTGTTGCTGTTTCTACATGTAAACCGTCCGTCCATCGCGAGGAATTAACCTCTGAGGATATTAACCAAGGATGCAATAGTGTTGAGACCAGTAATAATGGAATATCATCTCGACCGTCAACATCAAAGGCCAGCATAACGCAATCACATATACATGGTATGTATAATAATGATGTTCAAATTGCCCTTACCTTCTTTCCCCGTGCTATATTCCCCCTACTCTCTCTCTCTCTCTTTCTGTCATCCACTACTTTTTTCTTCTACATTGCATCCATTTCATTTTCATGTGGTCTTCTCTTCGATGACTGCATTGATTTTGCACAAGGCAGCTATCTTCTTCCATGCTACACACTTCGTCTCTGTTTTACTTTCATTTGCGTGAGGGGTTGCGTTTGCAGATTTATTTGCCCAAAAGTGCCAAGATGCTCAGTTTTAGGGCAACGCCTTTTATTTCTTCTCCTCATAGGGATGCATGCACGCGCACACATACACTAGCACCGAAGGTTAAAGATCTTGCTCTCTTGTAGTAAACAAGTCGAGTCACGTCTGAACGAGCAGCGGCAAGAAAGAAAAAACATTGACAGGAGAGGAAGAAAAATAGTCAAAAACGTGTTCAGACTCGCTGCCGATTCTCTATCCATGCGTCATTTTTATAATATCATACCCTTGATTGCGGTATTGTGTAAACACTATACTTGTTTTGACTTGTCATGAAGATACTGTGAAATATCCTGGTATACATATCAATGGTTATTGGTTACCTGCTCAGGATTCGGAACGTTCTGTTGTAATAATTGTATCGATGACGAAATACCTCTCCTATAACATTTTGATGAGCCAATATCTGAATTAATTTTCAATCAAGTATACATGTACATACTACCCTTCCTCTTCGTCTTTGGCCAACAGTGCAATGGCTTGTGGTCTAGAAATAGTCCGAATATGAAAGGTCATTTTATTTTACCCACATTCATTGAGATAGACTTATTGAATACCGACATTCTGGCAGTGATTTATACAATTTCATTACCAAATTTTAAATATATTTTACACGATTCCCGGTGCGTTGTTGAAATTAGTATTTTGATGTAGCTGTACCCAAAATGCTATTCGAAGCGACATAACATACTCGAAAGAGTAAGTAAACTTCTATTCCTTCGGTTGACAGTTAGCTTCTTGGTTTACAAATCCCCTTGATAAATGGGATGGCTTTTCTGTAAGTCTTTTCGTTAGTCTTGTCCGTACTTCCTCCTTCTTCTATAGTTCTCCGATTAGTACCGGGATTCTCACCTTGCAGGAAGCTCTTTCTTAAGCTTAAAGGCGGATTTCCCACGTCTCTGACATGGCTTGACTTAGAACAGGGAAATGACACGTCCCTGTCCACTTTATCTTGTATCCTATGACGCATTCATGGTTTCAAAGAACATCTTTGCTAATGAACAACATCCCTGGGCTGAAGTTGGCACACACACATACGTACCTATTTTGCTTGCCGTTATTGTTGGTGCATTCATCGTTAATGAGTGTTTAATTATCACGGGGATTTCCATGAAGTGTATAGTTGCATTTCCTCTTCTGTTATTTATTGTAGGGTCGTTGTTCTTCGAATAATATGAGACTTCCTTATTGTAAAGATTACTCAAACCTGAGAAATCCGATTTCGTGTGAATTTGAAAATCGGGAAGCGAGAACTCGTCAGCACAAAATACTAGTCAGATTATGTAATTTCCTTGTTATTTTTTACACCTGCGTGACTCTTATAGAATTTAGCGCATGCGCAACAAGACGAATGGGGTTTAGGCCTACTGTATTCGAGTATATATCGGATGTTTATTTTAGAACACATAAGTAAGTACTTGAAATAGTTATCACGAGTTGAAGTCGCTGCTTCTACTGTTATGCTGTATTACCTGTGTTCTATAATTACAGAGGGTTGGGCGAGTGACGACTTTATCGATCAGTTGTCGCTACACCTCTTACCAGTTTTTCATCCCTCTGTTATTGTTGAGCGGTCTAGTTGCCGTGTTAGGACCGTGTAACGCTAAACAATAGACCCTCATCTCTAGCGCACAGGTAGAGACAGAGGTACAGCGAGCCGAAAAGCGTCGGGGTCCCCGTGCGCGACCTGTCAATCACGGAGTCGCACGCCTCGACCGAAAAACAATACGTGTCCAGTTGGCTTTTATGGCTTAGCACAGCGTTCACATAAGCGTAGTCTTTGAAATCCAGGAGTTTACATTATACAAAACCACAAGCTGAAATGCATAGTCTTGGTATTCCAGGTGTTTACATGAATTAAATATTCCCCAAATTTCCAAGAACATGAAGAGAGATAATTTGAAAGATATTCTCCATCGTCGCACATGTATTGCTAAATGCGTGTAGGCTCTTGTGCAATTTATTTACACAACAAATGTAAGCCTTTAATGTTTCAGATACAATAAACGTAAGCCTGATTTAGCCTTTAGGTTAGCCATTGCAAGGTCAGTGTAACTTGAGCCGTTAATGTTCACAACGCGTCGTACCTGTTTTGTCATAGTAGTTTACACTGACCTGGGAAACCGCTTGAAAATGAACTGGTAACCGACGAAAGCCCTGGAGGTTTTAAGTGTGTTGTTGTCTTCTCTATGGTACGAAAATGTGCATGAAAGTAGGTCACCGATTACATTGGTAGTTCTGAAACTGATACTGTTTGCATTATAGCGGTGGGTTTTTTCCGCACATAGTATTTGATGATTTAAAGACCGTCAATACTACTGGGCCAGAAGGGATTAGACCACCCAGTCAGGTCACTGACAGGTGGCTATCTCATCAACTCGGCTCTCAACTATTAAACATAAGAAAAAGAGGATCATGGGGGACCAACAGGCACCGATTGGGGGAAGTTTTCTATAAAGAGGGAGCAAGTAGCTACAAGTAGGACAGTGGGGCTTTAATGCCGTACTGCCCGTTATCATGTTATGATGAAAAATGAAATATAATTGTATTAGTCACCCTTCGGAGGAGTTCTTGCGTTATTGTAGGTTTCAATATCCTTTTTTTATTTTGCTTTCAGGAGTAAAATTATCATGTTATCCGAAACTAAAATTGAAAAGCATGAAATAAAACAAAAGAGGAGACCAATAGAACTAGAACTACATGTATTTCTAGTCAATATTGGATCGACAGCCATTCTTGGAACTCTAAAAAATGAGAACATCAAAGGTTTATTATTATTTGAACGAATTTGTTTTTTAAAAAATATTAAAAAATACTCCTGGTTCGGAGTCGGACTTTGGAGCCGGGCGTTCAAGTTTTATTTGTGCCCATTTTTTGCTACATTATTTAGAATCCGTTTTACACAATTAAGGCAGACTGTTGACAGTCGAACTGGGGACAACGTTCATGTAATATCAAGCTTCGTGAGATGACACGTGGTGTAACGCGTCGCCTTTCATAATCCACGCCCATCCACACACTTCCAGAGCATTTTGTTTTTGTATTTTACTCACTTATTTTATCATGACCTTTGATCTCGAGATTGGAGCTCCTGTTTTGGGACGACGCCATAAATACGTTTAGGTCGAGTAACTTCGAGTAAGCAAACATATTTTGAGCGAAATACTACACTCTCGGTCTCAGTTCATGTGATTGACGTGAACTTGTGTTTGCACACGGTTGCCTAGTTACGACTAAACTGTTGCTAATATTGCCTAGTTTGGCAAAGTACATTTACCCTAATAATAAGCGGAATTATTGTGGAAAGAAATGTTCGACTTACCACGGAAACCAGACCTTATAATGTACGGGAATAAGGCATCATAAAGGTATAAATATATCCTATATAAATAATTAAATACTGATCGCAGGAGTGCATTTGTCGTGAAAGGTTACTGAACTTACTGTATTATGCCTCTAATTTTAAACCATAAATTTACACTCTAGAAGTATAGAATACATCACCAGATCACCTTGTACACTTTTCCAAAGGAATACAATATCAAGGCCACTAGTTTAGCAGGAATACAAATCACAATCCAGATTGAGAATCGGCTTGCTTTTCAAATGTTCACTGTGTCACAATGCACCGGCCAAGGAAGCAATGGTCACAAGCGAAAAAGAAAAAAGGTGTTTATTTTGTATTCTATTGATCGTGAATCGACACAAAGTGGTGGACATTGGGACGACCACGGCGAAGGACTCCGATGAAGGACCTCGCGTGGGCTACAGTTGTCCAAATAATCACAAGAACCGGCTTTGTTGTTTGCTTTATTTTCCTCTTGTATGAGATGACATTGGTGACCAGTCGTGCAGATACAAGAAAGGGCATCCGACCATGGACCTCGAGCGCTGCAGAGGCGTTCATACCTCGAAGGCCTTTGTCATGCAAAGAATATTCGCACGAACGGCGACAAGTGCCTCTATGGTCGACCAGTGGACGAGCGCTGGGAAAGAATCCGCTGATGACCTGTTGTGCTAGTCCGTGTTGGAAAAATCACTTCATTTATCTCCAGGGCAACAAAAGCCCGTACCAGATAGCCAAGACAAAGGGGACGCTGAAATCTGTGGGAAAGTTTTGAGAACTGGGCCTGGGGTGCATGGTCGTGTGTGTCTGTCTAACGCGTGGTGTTGATGGCCCCTGCCCAGCTCGTGCAGTTGTCTAAATACAATGCCTTTTGTCTTTTCCATCTTTGTCCTGTGATTTATTTCATAACGAGATTTGGGTGCACTAGCACCAGAGACTAGAAAGAGGTTTCGTTTGCCTGAGTTTTGTCCTCTGCTCTCTGATTCGCAAACTCATCCTTTTATGTAGGTCTATATTACGTGTACATCATTATTCTATGGTAATGAATAAATGATGATGGAAGCCCCTATGCTTTCACCCTTGTTTGTAAATACTTCGATATCTTGTTTCTTGAATGATATAGACATACATTTCCGACCTTTAGCATTTCAGTATAAACTTTTAAGGAAGAAAAAAAAAAGACCGACCTTCAGTGTGAATCGCAACAAACAGAAACCAATAGCATTGCTTTTGACCTCCAATTAACAATCAATATCTGCAACGTCACTGGGATTGTTTAGTAAATGGTGGGATTTCCAACCGGTATCACACTTGGTTTGTTTTCATAAGCTCCACGAGAATAGAAATCGATTGTTTTGTCGTGCATGGTTAATTAAGTCGTTGTTTTGATCCCTGGGTGAGCGTGGGGTTAGAAGAATCCAATCTGGCCGCTGTCCAAGTATCGAAAGGACGCACTTTCTGCGAGAAAGTTTACGCTTTGTATTCACGAAGCAGTTAGCTATCTTATCGCCCTGAATACGATGAGGACTTTTTCTAAGGGGAGGGGTATTTCTGATTTCAAAATACCCATTACGTGTAGGCCTACAAGGATTCTGCTCATTGCACCTATCTCTTCCTTTTTCATGTTCTCGGTTACTTCCTGTGTTGATGCTCACTATTTAAAAGAGTTACTGGGCTTCAAAGTCTAACTGTTCCAACAGACGGAAATGATTGCCACCGTTTGTCCCTTTCAATCATTGAGCTTTCTATTGTTCTCTGTAAAGCCATTGTTTAAATGACTTCCTCCTAGGTTAGAGCCCTTTCAAGTTTCAACCATTGTAAATCTGTGACGCATCCATGGCTCGTCGATATGATTTTTGTTTTACCCTTCCAATTCTTCGGTAGAGCACTATAGAGCAATACAAAAAGACCTGAGATATGATAAACGAAGCCAGATTTTGACAGGGGCACATGCGAATGCCCTTCCACACCGCATTACATTGCTGAGTAGGCCCACATTAATGAAGGAACCTCAATCAGGGGTTGCTTGTCTTAAAGGCCGTCTGTACTAGTTTGGCTAGGAGGGATTAGACCACCCAGGGTGGTCACTGACAGGTGGCTATCTCATCAACTCAGCTCTCAATTAACATAAGAAAAAGAGGATCATGACCAATCGTCACTGATTTGGCATTGTTTTCTTTATAGAGGGAGCAAGTAGCTACACGTTATACAGTGGGATTTAAATCTCTACAATAAGTATGGTTTTAGGCGGAACGTTCCCTGTATGTTTTGCTCAAAGAATTGTCGAGCGAAGTATGTACATGTGTGAACACTTGAACAGCAGTCATGATGAATTGACACGTTCTCCACACGTGTAGACGGAAAATTTGCATTTGGGATTGACCGCAGATGGGAGCATCCAAACTTTGGCTATTCGCATCCCATTGACTAGTCCCAAGCACGTGATGATCGGTTAATAGAATCAGATCTCGCCAAAGTTCGGCTTCTTTCTTTCAGCGCCGGGGGTTGGTCAATAAATGTACCCTCTTTCATGTCTCATTCAGACTGCATATAGGTCATTAGGTGTGAGATTTATCGATAAACTGTCAAATGCGACTCGTCGCTGTCGGGATGTTTTCTGTCAAAGCTCTCACCTTCTCACCTCATGCACCTCATGATATCATGCAGTGTGTCGCAGAACTCACTCTATTCGTCCCATATGTTGCAGTCTGTACGTCCTGTCTGTCAAACCCGTCATGACAGTCATGACAAGCGTTTTCCTTTAGAAATCCCGTAAACAACATAACAAATACGTGTGACCCGTCAAAGTGTCCAATAAGGAAATCCATGTACATGTTTATAATAGGAAAATGTTTAGTAGGATTGCAAGAAAGTAAATTTGTATTGGTTTGGTTTGTTTGGTGGACGCCTTGTTTATCTAATTAATTCTATAATTAATTCTATAATTTCTGCAAATGTTTATGCTCACGTTTGTCAGTTACGTATGGTTGCATATACTTGTAGTACAGCGCATGAAGGTAGTTATGACACGTGGTAGTTGTGTACTTTCATGCTTGGTTTCCTTTCACCTTTTCACACTAATATATTTCGTCGTCTCTCCTCCCAAATACAGACTTCTTCAACCAAAGGAAAAGACGGAGAAGTTTATCCGAGGACTCGAGTGCAAAGCGGGCAAAGCCACTCCCAGACCATCTGGATAGACCACGATCCGCCCCAGCAGCAGTAGCAACGTCATCATAGCAACGCCAAGCTGTCCACTTCAAATGGTACGTATCCCAGTTTTATTTGAATAATATAGCTTTAAAAAATATATGGCAACCAGTTTCGTCGATTGACGTTTACCCCCAGCTGTTCTGTGAGTCAGATTCCTGGAACAAACGGTTCCCGGTGCTTTTGCTGGGAAAGGTATTTGGTTATTAACAATACATATTTTAATTAAGAGCATATTTTTAGAGTTAATTAACTATGATATCACCAGAAAAAGACATTTGTAATGCAGATGTGTGAGAGAAAGTAGACAGGCACTTGCTGCACGCAGCTAATTGGCTGGCTGGTTTCCGTTCACCAAATTACAATTTTTTATATATTTTTGTAGGGGTATATTTTTAGAGTTTTCTCAGTAACTAGCACCAATAGAAGAGCATACAGAGGAGAACGTACTTATTGTGGAGGTTTCTGCACAATGGATTAGGGTATATTTTAGCTTCCGATAAGAAATATTTGCTAATATCAAAGAAATAAAGTCCCTTTCCTCAGCAACAATGTATTGCGCAATTTATCCGAGTGTAATAAAGGGCTAGGAATACATTTCGCAACACCAAGATGACATTCTTTTTCGTAACTGTGGGGGTTGTTTGTTTGCCTACTAAGAGGAGATTCATCGCCCTTTTTATAGTGAATTCATGAAGTAACCCAAATTAATATTCCAATACACTCTTTCGATGATTTTTTACGAAAATTATTATCGCACGTTGTGTCTCAAGGTTCGCGAATAACCAACTCGACCAAGTTTTTTGATTAATGTTATTCTAAGAGTAAAATAATGACTTCAATAAAGCAGAAAGTCAAGATAACTGGTGATATTTATACCATGGACCTACAGTAAATCCATGTTATTACTTTATAACACGGTCATATGTATGTAGGCCTGTTGGATGGGCGGGTTAATCTAGATAATTAGAATGATCATTTAACCATGACCTAGTGGGCCCATGATTTAATGCACTCTTGTTCCCAAATCTCCATCATTGCCTTTTATTCATCGCGCTAAGAATAGGAAAATCCAGATTCTTTTTGAAAGCTTATGCTGGTGAATCTGTTTACATTTTGTAGGGCGCTATGCGGTCAAAGAGCTTTGAAACTACCGAACAACGGTGAATTCCTATTGTTATTCTGAATCTGATAAATACAGTCTTCCAACAATAGCTTTCAAACTGAGTGGTAGTAGTGCTTGATTATTTTTTTCCTTTCAATCGGGACCAAAAGACGGACTAGTGTCTACTTGTCAAACAGAGCCCTTGTGATAATCTCCATTGGCCTTTTTTCTAACGGCGGGTCTTTTTATGATGCTGTTTGCTGCTAAGAAAAAAAAGGGGGCAATGCTTGACCGTAAAAGGATGCAAAGCGGATTAGAAAGCAATATTAAACACTTTTCGTGGCCAGATTTAAGCCGATAACTCCACGGAAAAGCTGGAAAATTCCATTCGTTATTGACTTCCAGATTAACCATGCTTTGCGCCTTCGGACGAAAGTAGCGTGCTGTTCCCAGGGACTCGTAAACAAAAGTTGATACACCATCCAATGTTTGTTTACGTTAGCGTACATCATATCATGTAACGGTTACAAGTGCCTCAATGAACTGAATTCTGGATGGGCTCCTCTTAAGAACTTACAATCGAGTTACATTTTAATGGCTGAATAAAGACACGAAATATGATTCATTGCGATTCAATACACCGATGGGGCGAGAAGAAAACCGTGCAACGTTACGTAGCTGATATAGTTTTAACGAACGCTACCGGTCGGCCCTCTGCAATTGCACGTATCGGGTAAATGGAAATTTGTGGGAATCAAAAACCTGTGGCTCAGTTGCTGTGCTTTAGTTCAGCTCAAGTTGCTCAAGTTGAACAAACTTTGAGAAGTTGAGAACCATACAGAAACTACAAATCATGCACCCCCATTGATTTCATCTCAAAGAAAACCTTTAACCGTTGTGGCAAAATCTAAAACCTGTAAATGGAAAGAAAATTGGAGGACCAACATCCACACTTTGCAAAGACGAATATGCCTAATTGCATAAAAGGGTAATCCACCCTTTCAGATATCAGCATAACACTGATTGTTCGCATATCTATTTCCAATCGGGTGGGTGTTTCACAAAACTTGTCATCAGTGACAAATGACAGTTTTTGTTATAAGCTACAGAAATCCTTGCTTCTGATTGGTTATCAGCAGATTTGTCACTGATTTTTGTTATTTGTCATTGAAAAAAGGCTTTGTGAAACTGGTCCCAGATCCAATAGCGTATCGTTTAATCAGTTTCCCCTTGAACCGGTCAACAGTATCGTTAAGGAAGAGGATAGACAATTTAAACTTTATCTAGTATTCAGGTATATAACAGACAGTAAGGTCAAAATTGATACCTGTGTAAGAGGCAGTGGTGAAGGGTTAGTTAACTCGTAGTATGTATATGAAATACAATTTCACCGTATTTTTTCTCGGTGTAAATTGAATGCAGGGATTTGTGTATATTTTGGAATCTAAGAAGTCATTGATTGCCCATGTGAGATCGGAAGTAAACTGACTGCAGTCAACGTTTTTCAGTTGTACCGACTATAATTATATGATATGACAGACATTTTGCATCTTGATCACAAAAGACTGATAAACCGATGCAAGTTCGGTTTGAAACGCGGGTGAGTTTAGTGTTGATTTGTCTTCTATTTTCTATGCAAAACAATCTTTGATCACAGAAGCTCTTGTTGACGTTTTTCCATAATTTCTCTTTCTCTATTTTTATTTCGTACCTGCAGAGATTCATGATACGTGCGAGTTAAACAGGGTCAGCGACGTTCGGTTCACGATAAATTTCAGCTTGTTTACGCCATCGCTCTCACTAGTCTTCTCCATCAGCCTTTACTACCAGTTGTGCCACCAAGACCAGTATCGCGTGAAGTTGCTCATCCGATGCACCAGTACCCCCAGACGATTGAAAGCCTTCATCAGGAAACATGTCTCTGAAAGCTGTTGGGATGCAACTTCTAGACAACCTTGTGGACATTTACGACTTGGTAGGGTCTGGTGAAGAGACTACCAGTCGAAGACTAAAATGCCTGGCTTAAAGCCAGATAAAGAGACACTTCAAACTGCACAGCTGAATAACAATGCAAGATTTTGGCAGCCTGCCATTGTACAATACTTCATGTGTATTATGTGTGTGGGAGCCACTACCTGCCTAATTTAGTCTGCCAATCAGACGCTAATTGTGAGCTTTGGGTCTGTTTATGATAATATAAAGAAAAAGCCTCAAGTTCAGTGGAGCCTAAACCAACTTCACAATAGTTATGTTATTTTAGGGAGCAGTTTAAGTATAGCTAATTAGCTATGGCTACAGCCTGAACGTTTTATACACTGTTATGAGCATTGTACTTGGCAAGGGTTTGTGTGCGCAGACTAGCTTTCGAGCCCGCCAAAATGGTTGTCACGTGATCTGGACGCGTACGCCCATCTCGAGGCCTATGAGGTCGAAGGGTCAAAGCGAAAACCTGACAAACAACTTGTTCGGCTACCCTGGATATTATTCCCAGGGAAGTCTTGTGAAAATACTCCAATCAGAAAAATAACCCTCAGTACAGCAGTAAAGGCAGAAGATGAACTGGGAATTTAATAATTCTGGTTCCTTCTAGGCTCTAGCTCAACTTCTGACTCTAGATAGTTTACTTTATTTTCTTCTCCCCCCCCCCCCCCCCTGTGGAATAATCCAAACTCTGTACCGAAGATGCAGATCCTTACACTCTCACACTTACCCTTGCCTCCGTTGCGATTTCTTGTTTTCATCTCACTTTGAATCTTGAAATTATAATTATTAAACAACTCATCCTCAAAGCTGAGTCTTTCTTGGCTCTTCAATATCAAATTCGAGAAGAGTTCGAGTCTAAAGTGATCATAATGGTTGTCACAGTCATCTTTCTCGTTTACTTCTGGTTTAAGAAGTTCTCTATACAAAAGCAATCGCAATAATTTTCCTTTTGAGAAAAATAATCTTTGTGGCCTTTCGTGCAAAACCCATGTTTTCATTGCCTCAGCTGATCGTTGATCACAGATGGAATGACTTTCATACAAGAAAGACCTTTCCAATCGAGGGAATTAAGACCAACAAAAAAACGTACTGTTTATTCCTGTAAATGTTTGGGTTAAAGTTCTTACCTAACACAGTTGTTGCTATGTCAGAATTCACTTATAAACCTTTTTTAAAGGTTAATTGTATATATGCCAGATGTCATACAAAGTTGTGTATATTATATTTTATCTTATTTATTTACTTACATCGCAATTCACGTTTTCCTAACATTCCATTGTATTGACTCCAATAAGCCGGAAGTGGGAATACAGATAGAAGGAAGATACGTGGGAAACGGCAGGCCTAATTAAAAGCAATATAACCTGTTATCATTAAAGACAAATGATTCCTTTTCCTCCACTATCTGGTAATTTGTGGAAGCACCAGATGTTTTAGAGATTATTTCAAGTACAAGAATAATTCACGACATGTCTAAGCGACCAAATGTTAATGTCCCAAATAAGTAGGTGAAGATTCACCCAAATTGGATGATGCTTTACCAAGTTCACACGTTCTGTATTACCCATATGATACAAAACCCTCACAAATCCATTATTTGATAAACTTGCAGATGTTTTATGAGATTTTATTGTGATTATGATCTCGTCTGTCTAGTGGGTTTATTTCTAGAATCTGTATGGTAATACGCATTGATTGGACTGCAAAACAAACGTTCATGAGAAACGGAAGACCTGTTGGTACAGAGTATATTGCAATGTGATACCAAGATCATCTGTGCAATATGCATTGCGTCTTTAACTTGAATTCAGAGAACTACATAACTGCAGGGACATGTTGATTTCGCTTTTCTTTCTGTCAAAGCTTTTGTCTCATAAACATATTTATATTTGAGACTCAAAAAGAAGAGTTATATGAATTTCACATGGTGCAGATTGCAGGCATTCATTTTCTGAACATTCTGGTGAATTATTCAATGAATTTTAATTTTTTTTTTGCAATAGTGTGATTAGTGAGTTGTGATTTGTTAACAAAACAGGGGTTTGTTTTCTCGATAGAAGTCTTTCGCGTTTATCCCTTCGATAAAAAAGAAACAAATTGGATGGATACCTATATATCCTCATGTAGATTTCGAAAAGCAAGGTAAATATGTTTCCCTTTAACTGAAATATCGGAACCCAGAAAAGTAATGTCCCCTGTTTATTTCAAATTTCAAATTTCTATAGAATAAATATGCGCCACAAAACATACGTGTAGATATGTTTTAATATCAGGTTTATCAGTCAGAAATATGTATATGATAGAAAGGTTCAATAATATTTAGATTAATACAAGAAATGTAGTCATTTTGTCATTCATATATGGCTATCATGAATGTGTACATATGCTATGTATCTAAAGTTCGAAAAAGAAATATTAAAATAAAATGAAATAGAAATTATATATTGTTGTCTCGTTCTTATTACGGTCAGCGGTATTTTTTGTTATTTTTTTTTTTTTAGATACTATTGAAGATTAAGCTTTGTTTGATGGTCATAATGGTCGTGATGATAAACAATAGGTCCAAAGTAATAACATCGGTCATATAAATAATGAATCATTTCGATGGTGCATGATTGCGTGTTTTTGACAAGAGTGAGTGAATGTGAGCTGTACAAGAGATTTTGATCATTCCACAAAATTGAAACGCGCTTTCCAACGGCAATGACAGGCTGTAGAGTAACTCGGGGAAAGAGGAATAGTGGGCCTACAATAGAATCATATATATATATATATATATTTACATACAAACACATACAATATATTAAATATTACCACACTTTTTTCGAAAAATCAACTCGGGGACAATTTTGATACCCTCTTGTACTCTTGTATGTCGCGTAGAAAATTAGGAATCATGTTCCAATTACGTAATAAGTGACTGTCGTGTTCGCACAAGGTTATTGAAATTGACTTAAATTGATTTTTCGAAAAGTAGTTGCTTCCGTGTAATACATGCAAACAGGCAAATCAAGAGGCGGTGTGTGTGCGTGTGTGTGTGTGTGTGTATTAGAAGGGGAGGGGGAGGGGCGTGGGACATGTGTGAAACGATTGAGGGCATTCGATGCACCTGTATGTCTGAAGGAGTATGATTCATAAAATCAATGAATTCACTGGCGTGAATATACGTGTCATGGTATTCATGCACATGCATTTAAAGACCGTCAATACTCCTGGGCCAGAAGGGATTAGACCACACAGCGAGGTCACTGACAGGTGGCCATCTCATTAACCTAGCTCTCAACTTACATAAGAAAAAGAGGATCACGGGGGACCAACAGGCACCGATTGGGGAAGTTTTCAATATAGAGGGAGCAAGTAGCTACAAGTAGGACAGTGGGGCTTTAAAACACATTTTATTTGATTTGCCCACGACCTTCTCAATCTCAATCACTCCTTTCCTGCCCTCTTTCTATTTCACTTAATTTTGTGGTGTGCACAACACCAACAACCCAACCAAAATGGCCTTCAAGGAAAGATGAAAAATAATTTGTGAGCATTGTTTAATGATTCTTTTCTTGTCAGTGTGGTAAGGTATATTGTACACATATTGCCCCCTGAGAGAAGCCCCCTTGAAATGCCCTCATATTGTAAACATGTCGGGTAGCAGATAAAGGTTGGTGTCGTCAAATGTTTGTGTCGTCAAATTTCCTTGCAAAGTGCATTGAACTCTTAGCTAGATTCTGCCAATTTCTTATCATTCTAATGATTTCAAAACATGACAGTATACACCTATATGTGTCTTCTCGTTTATGAATACATGTACAAGTACAAACATGCCCTAGGGTTGCCATGGGGGTGTTTCACAAAGACTAAGATCGACTTTAAGTTGGACTTAACTATGGCTTGCCGTTCATACTGCTGTTTACCCTCACCATTCACTGGCATTGTCTCTCAAGTGACGTACAAATCATGGTCACAAATCTACAGAATTTACAGATTTTGATAATTCATTATTGAAGGAAAAAATATTATCTAAAGATCATACCGGTGAGAGCAGCAGTGGCACGAACAGCCTGCCATAGTTAATTCCACCTTAAAGTCGCTCTTAGTCTTTGTGAAACACTCCCTTGAACTAAACTTTAAAACCGTCTTGAGTCACAGCTGGGGCGCTCGATTTTAATTCTCATCACAAATCGGGATTCCCCTTTGGACTGTCTCGACGATTCCACGTCTCAATTCTGACATGTCTGAACACGACTGGACAGGACAATCAAAATAAACCTTCAAATAGATAATAGACAGCTTCTCGTTTATGGAAACAAGTCAAAACATGTCCATGGCCATCAAGAAGTGTTGAGCTATTATTATCTACCTCTTCAAATGGAAAACATTATGCCTGCAAGGATCAGATCGTTTAGAATAAATTGAATAGCCGAAGACACATTTCTGGCGATATCAGTATTATATGCCTGACTGATAGCGATATCATAACAGATACCAACCGCCTGGTGTCTGACATGTCCTAACTTGCTGATACTTAAAAAACAACAACACCCCCCCCCCCCCTCCCAGCACACAATTTAAATTCAAATATGTTAACTCAAGTCCTGACATGATGGGATTATCAGCAAAGCAAACAGACAAAACAAAGCAAAACAAAAATAGAGGTATTCTAAATAGAATCAGAAACCTCAATAAAAGAAAGGCAAAAATAGCTGTATACAGAAAACAACACTGTCCATTATTATGATAACATTACACTCGACAGAAATTGCATGATAAAACTGCAAATAAAACTGCCATTTGTTTTCATTTACTCATTTATTATCTGGCTCGCTCCACTTGCTCACCAAAAGACCATCACACACAAAATAACGATTGACATTAGACTGTAAAATAACAATAAGAACAGGTTTTGAGTTCAAGATAATTAAAGGGTTAGAGAATGGACTTGTTTACGCCTATAAAAATGTCACGTTAGTCGTCAAGTCTTAAATAGTACATTTACCATTGAAAGAGCAACTTACAGTACCATTTCTTCATGTAGGACTAGTAGGAGTAGACCAGTGAGTTAGCACTATTACATGTAGCATCATGCATGTATGTCCGAGACTCTAAACTTTTATTTAGCTGGCCTCTCAAGTGGAAACAATAGGACTTTTAGATTTGCACAACCACAACGTGGATTGCTACGACCGACGTCCTTTTAATGCACTGCCTTGAACGAACGTCACACGTATCAGTCCACGCAAATCTAAAAGTCCCTGCTATTTCGACGTCAACGGCTTCTGCAGACTGCATTGTTACTGGTTATTGGCATCGGCGATTTGTTACGCCGTGTTTATTGATTATGCAAAATCTATATCGCTTTACACACGCGCTGCTGGTACCAGTAGATATCTTGTATACAAACACGGTGGGATTAAAAGCTTGGCGATGGCCACGACAGGGTTGACATGTACTTTTCAGTCCTCACCTTTAGACCGCTGACCGGGGTGCGCATGCGCAGAGGGCAGTAATGAAACGGTAAGGCCAAGGCCATGAATAGGCCTAGCCTAGCTATATCGGTACGGTGCAAGGCTATTAGAGATTTACGAGTTGAATGGGTATTGTCGCTGTCGCTCAACGCCCATTGCCCAAGTTCAGAAGTTGTAGGTCGGGTGTATATAACAAACAGATGAATTTGGTAGAAAGAATATAGATCGATGGACAATTGCCCAAACTGCATGAGATCTGTCAGCCAGATCGAGAGATCCTCTGTCTGCCAACAGAAGAAAAGTTCAGTGTAAATTTCAACATTGAATTTATGCAAACTGCCAGTCAGATCAGAGATATGGAAAGTGACATCTCCCTCTTAAAGGTAATACAAGTTTTGGTACGGGGTCATGAATTTGGTTCAAATGAACACATTGGAAGCATATACGGTCCTACAATATTCAGTGATCGTTGTCGCGGTTGAAATCGAGTCTAAAGTTATGAAATTGTAAATAATAAACTCTTTATGTTGTATAGCTCCCTCTCAAGGTCAAGATATTAATTAAGCTATAAAACAATGTGTATTGACTCAAATCGACCGATTAGCTATTCCCGTTCGGAAATTATATATCACAACTACAATTATCAAAATTTACCGGGAGCAACCGTAAATTTTTATATTCAAGTTTTCTCGAAAGCAGAAGTGTTTTAGGGGCTAACTTTATAGTGCTTATAATACATCCACAGGGGCATCATATATATAAAAATTGTTAAGAATCACTATGCGAAAATTATGAAATTTGCATAATATGCAAATTAGCTGTTGTCATAATGAAAACATGTACTTTACTTTCATTTTAGGGGGGGGCGGTAGTGAGCACGCAAAGCGTGCGAATCACTTAAAGAGCGCGCAAAGCGCGCTCCCTAGGGGGGTGGGTGCAGGGAGGAGGGAGTATCCCCTTTTGCTTTGAAAAGCTTTGAAAGAAGACGATTCGTTGTACCTTTCTCGACTCATAATCCTTGTCTGAATTCAGTCCCTCCCCTCTCTCGCGCGAAGCTTTGACGTTTCATTAAATTATTAGAGAAAGAAGACGATTCGTTGTACCTTTCTCGACTCTTAATCCTTATCTGTATTCAGTCCCTCCCCTCTCTCACGCGAAGCTTTGACGTTTCATTAAATTATTAGAGAAAGAAGACGATTCGTTGTACCTTTCTCGACTCATAATCCTTGTCTGAATTCAGTCCCTCCCCTCTCTCGCGCGAAGCTTTGACGTTTCATTAAATTATTAGAGAAAGAAGACGATTCGTTGTACCTTTCTCGACTCATAATCCTTGTCTGAATTCAGTCCCTCCCCTCTCTCGCGCGAAGCTTTGACGTTTCATTAAATTATTAGAGAAAGAAGACGATTCGTTGTACCTTTCTCGACTCATAATCCTTGTCTGAATTCAGTCCCTCCCCTCTCTCGCGCGAAGCTTTGACGTTTCATTAAATTATTAGAGAAAGAAGACGATTCGTTGTACCTTTCTCGACTCATAATCCTTGTCTGAATTCAGTCCCTCCCCTCTCTCGCGCGAAGCTTTGACGTTTCATTAAATTATTAGAGAAAGAAGACGATTCGTTGTACCTTTCTCGACTCATAATCCTTGTCTGAATTCAGTCCCTCCCCTCTCTCGCGCGAAGCTTTGACGTTTCATTAAATTATTAGAGAAAGAAGACGATTCGTTGTACCTTTCTCGACTCATAATCCTTGTCTGAATTCAGTCCCTCCCCTCTCTCGCGCGAAGCTTTGACGTTTCATTAAATTATTAGAGAAAGAAGACGATTCGTTGTACCTTTCTCGACTCATAATCCTTGTCTGAATTCAGTCCCTCCCCTCTCTCGCGCGAAGCTTTGACGTTTCATTAAATTATTAGAGAAAGAAGACGATTCGTTGTACCTTTCTCGACTCTTAATCCTTATCTGTATTCAGTCCCTCCCCTCTC